TTACCATATGCATGGTGTTATAGTTGCTAAGTGCTGTGAAGTCAGTTGAGTGTGTTCCGACTCATAGTGGCTCATAGTGGATTTCCAAAGAGCAGCTTGTGGGTTTGAACTGCCGACCTTGTGGTGCTGCATCAGGCTTCCATACTCTAGTTTCTGTTCAGATCATATAAATCTTTCACCTATGCATAGATAACAGTTAATATCTTAATTTTATAAAGAATTCAGTGGAAATCCATTTTTAAACCTTTTAAGGCTGTTGCTTTATTAAATTAATGTTTTGTTCTCATTTTAGCAGTTTAAAAATGATACCATTTAGTTCACAGAAGAACTGAAGGCCCTGTGTTAAAATAATGTAGGAGTCCTGGTGTGGCTCTGTGGGTTAATTTTCCAGACTGCAAAGTCGTTTGAACTACAAGGTTGGTAGTTCAGGCTCACCAGCTGCTCCTTGGAAACCCTATGCAGGGTTGCTATGGGTCAGAACCAACTTGACAGCACATAACAACAACAGGTCATATGGTGCTGTGGGATAAGCACTGGACTGCTAACTACAAGATCAGCTGTTCCTTGGAAACCTTCTGTACGGTCACTATGAATTGGCACTGACTCAGTGGCACTTAACAGCAACAACAGGTCACAATGGAGCCAAATCAACACACTACCCAGTGTCCCATTCAGATGAGTAGTTAATAGCTCTGCATCTCTTCATTTTATATTGTGCTGTGTCCCTCTTCTCTCCATTTTGTTTTGTGATCTGATCTGACTTCCTCCCTACTATGGGCCCTCTTCCTCTTTGTATGCCCTAACTAAATTTAACAGAATTTTTCCCCCCGTATTGTTTCTTTTGTCTGATATAGATTTCCTTCCTCTTGCTTTTATTTTGCAACAGCTATATCTTGCACAGTTGGAGGACTTGCCTGAACCTGGAAGTCTTCTTTCCTGGTGCTTGTTTTTCTTTAGAATTATTTATCCGATTAGGAGATATCTGTGAAAGAGCTACCCAACAATAAATGAAAATTTAAAAAGTTCAATTTCTAAACGAATAACTACAAAAAGAAGCATGTTGTTGTTATTAAGTGCTGTCCAGTCGTTTCTGCCCCATAACGAACCATATACAGTTTCCAAGGAGCAGCTGGTGAGCTTGAACCACCGACCCTACAGTTCAGACAACTTTGCAGTCTGATGCCTTAGCCCAAAGTGCCACACCAGGACTCCAAAAAGAAGCCTAGAGCTATGGTAATAGAGAAGGAATAATTGGGATATGTTGATTAGAGAATCCTGTTATTGTTGTTGTTGTTGTTAAGTGCCATCAAGTTGGTTCTGACCCATAGCGACTCTGAACAGGGTTTCCTAGGCTATAAATCTTTATGGGAGCACAAAGCCTCATCTTTCTCCTGCGAAGCAGCTGGTAGTTTCAAACTGCTGACCTTGCACTTTGCAGCCTGATTTGTAACCACTATGCTACCAGCCGATCCGCGGGAGAAAGATGAGGCTTTCTACTCCCATAAAGATTTACACCCTCGGAAACCCTATACAGGGTCGCTATGGGTCGGAACCGACTCGATGGCACATAACAACAACATGCTACCAGAGCTCCTAGAGAATTCTCATGCTGCTTAATTTCTTTATGTATTTAGGAAGGTCTCTTTTTAGTCTTGGTAGCATAATGGCATGATACTAACTGAAAGATTGACGGTTTGAACCCACCCGCAGCATCATGGATGAAGAGACCTGGTGATTTGTTCCCTTAAAAGATTGCTGCCTAGGAAACCCTGTGGGGCAATTCTACTATGTCATATAGGGTCGCTGTCAGATTGTAGACACAGCATTTTCTGGGTGGTTTTGCCTTTAACTAAATTGTGGTTAGGCAGAACTGCTTTATCTGTCTAACAAGTCCTCCAAGCACAGTGGTGGTTGGTTAAACATTAGTGGACATGACCAGTACATGAAAAAGGCTTATTAAAAAGGTTCCATCTTCTTGAAATTAGTGTTCGGTAGGTCATAGACAGGCTATTTAAAAACTGACTCTAAAGAAGCACCACAGTGGGATAGAAAGGGATGTCAGGAAACGTGAATACAGAAAGCTTGGAAGCCCATCTTCAGCCTATAACTGATTGGAATACCTAAAAAGGGGTTCTACAGCTTGCCCAGTGAAATAGGCCTCTTGTGGAGCCTTTGCAGTATATAGGACCTTAAGTGGAATCCTGAGCCCCATCCAGAACCTTCTGAGGTGGGACATTCCCACTGGAAAGGACAAGCAAGACCAGCCTGGAACAACTAGAGCAACAGAAGATACATCTTGAAAGAAATATCAGCAGGAAAAACACAAAACAAAAATGGCAATAGGACTGGCTGTTACAAGAATAAGCAAGTTGTTCTCTGGGAAACCATCAAAGCCTGCAATCAAGTTCCCTCAGGACAAACTCCCCACCCCCTCTAAGACTATAACTCAAAGGGAACACATGAGCAGGCAGGTAAGCTTTCTGACGACCACATTGGTCTAATGATGAGTGGAAGAGGGGGAAAGGCAGCATGAAGAAATGGGCTGAGTCCAGCCACGGTCCATGGATTCCTCTTGACCTGGAGATGACAGAAAGAAGAGGAAGGGCTGGTTGGTCCAAAGTGTTGTGAGACCTAGGGACACTTGAGCCCATCGACAAGGACATAGCCACAGAAGACTAGAGCTGAGAGTGAAGCATCCAGCTGATATGAAGTGAGGAGAGATGCATAAGAACATCCAAACTTGCAGATAGTACCTATTTGACCTAGCCTCAATGTCTTGATAACCAGAACTTGACTAGAGGAAGATTTAAAAAAAAAAATTTTTTTTTTTTGATAAAGCAAACGTTGGTAAATTGCTGCAATTTGATGAACTTGACCTATACTCACGGAGGTAGTAGCTCTAAATACTAACCAAGAGGGAAGGTATCTTCATATCAAGTATCTATTCTATCCCCTCTGTACACAGGGTAGATAGGGAGGGGCAACTTAGACGTTGGCTACCTAAAATGAGGGGGCAATAAAGGCTCAAAGTGACTGGATTACAAGGTTTCAAAAAGGAGTTTAGTTTACGAGTGTGGGGAAGAAAGAGTCCTCACTGAATAGTTTTCATCTTGTCTAAATGAAGTTTTCATCTTGTCTAGGGAAAAAGAGATGGGGATAAGATTCTTATGATTCAAAAGTGAGTAATTGTTATCATGACTAATTGAGACTGTCACAATTGTAAAAGAAGTTTTGTAACAAAAATGAGGGAATAGTGAATCTTACAGTCCAGAAATAGAGGACCCTAAGACCATCAAGGGAGAAGAGCACAAGCAAAATGCAAGACCTTAACCAGAGATGGAGGCAGAGACGGGGACATGGAGAGAGGGAGCAGCTGAGGACTCTAGATTTGTGGGGAGAGAGGGACTGAGAGCTTGGGGCCAGGAGGCAGACTTGCAGAATGTGCCCTTTTGTGGTATTAATTATTATACATGCCTGAGTGTTAAAAAAAAAAAATAATAAAGCTAAAATGAATAGAAATGCTGTTAACTGATGGTACATGGAGGGGATTATAATTATTATAATGAAACACAAAGTATATGATTTGTTGAATGTAAAACTGATGATCTGCCCTGTAAACTTTCACTCAGTTCACAATAGAAACTATAAAAAAAAAAAAAAGCACCACAGATTATCTGCAGATTATCAACAGATCACATTTGGGAAAACAATGCCTTACAGGATAAGGGATAGCTTTTCATTTTGCCCCCACCTCACTTCTAGCCTTATTTCCCACTAGTCTGTCCCCACACATTCCATGTGTCAGACATGCTAAGCCCCTTGAGTTCTCAGCATGTCTTAATTTCTCATGCCTATATATTCTTGCATGGAGCCCTAGTAGCGTAGTGGTTACGAATAGGGCTGCGAACCTCAAGGTCAACAGTTTGAAACTACCAGCCGTTCCGCCGGAAAAAGATGAGGCTTTCTCCTCCCCGTAAAGATTTACAGCCTCGGAAACCCTGTACAGGGTCACTATGAGTCTAAACCAATTCCAAGGCATACCACCACCATATATCCTTGCATATGCTGGGCCCACTGCCTAAAATACCCTTCTCTTTTTTAATTTTTCAAGTCTTTATTGAAGCAGCTCCCCATAGCCCTCCTTCTCAAACTGGGTTAAACTGCAGTCTCCCTCACTGATCCCATTCTGCTATAGCATTTAACACAGTGTTCTATCTATCGTTGGTTTCCTTGTCGGCCCTCTACTAGATTGTACATTCACTCCCATCTTCATTTCTGTTCCTCCAACGTCCTGCACATTGTAAATAGTACAGTAAATGTTATATTCAAGATTCTTTTGCCTCTTCAGATCTTTGAGCTTACTTATTTTTGTTACATGCCCTCAAGTCAGCTCCAACTCCTAGCAGCTCTATATAGGGTTTCAGAGGAATGACTGGTGGGTTTAAACCGTGGAGTCGGTTCCAACCCATAGCGACCCTGCACAAGGTTTCCAAGGCTGTAAATCTTTACGGGAGCAGAAGGCCTCATCTTTTTTCCTGTGGAACCGCTGGTAGTTTCGAACTGCTGACCTTGAGGTTGGTAGCCCGACTCGTAACCACTAAGCTGTTTACAGGCACAGAAAGCCTCTTCTTTCTTTCACAGAGTAACTGGTAGAATCAAACTGTTGACCTTGTGGTTAGCAGACCATCACATAACCCACTACGCTACCAGGGCCCCTTCTTAGGTTTATTAGATCTAAAGAAATGCTCTTGTGGCAGCTCTATACTCCCCCTTGTATTCTGAGTTTGGTGTGGTTTTAAGTAGATAGTACTTCCATTATACAGGAGCAATTACTTAGTATGTTATTTGTAAAAGCAAATTCACTTTACCTTACAAAGTGACAAAAAGATTAGTAATAAATAAGGCACTGTGGCTATATGCCATACATTTATTCATTATTTTGCTTTTCTTTAGTTTTATGACCTGTAACCATTCATTCTACACGATTGTCTGTATTTCAGATGGAGCAGCTATCAGATGAAGAAATTGACCATGGTGCTGAAGAAGACAGTGACAAGGAAGATCAGGACCTGGACAAAATGTTTGGAGCCTGGCTCGGAGAGCTAGACAAACTTACTCAGGTTAGAAGGAGTGCTCAAAAAACTAGTTGAATTTGAAGTCATCACTGTGAGCTAAAACTCTAATGTATAGACATAAGTTAAATTTCAAAGTATTGCCAGAAAGTAAAAATGTTCAAAATATTAACAAGTAAATGGATAGTAACTGTAGACCACAAGATATTTTCTCCCTGTTTTAAGGAGTTTGTTGTTTTTTTTAAAGACAAATTTTAGCAAATCTAATCCCATAACTAAGTAAATTTGAATGCGTTTTATAACAAATTATTTCCTCTCATGCAAATATTTTCCCTTACATGATTTCAGAATACTGACAAAATTTTATTCGAGACTATTTTTAAACGACAAAGTTTTATTTTATTTTATTGGACTTTGAGTTGTTGGGTTTTTTCTTGAATTACCTTATCCTCTAAACCAAATTGCTTTTAAAGTAAAAGTGTATACACTATTACTGATCTAGCTAATATTCAATATACGAAGATGTATTGATTATTTTTATCATCAAGGAAAGTGTTTTTGCTCTTTTGTTGCCTGTCTCCATGTACACAGCAGATAATTATAATAAATGTTTGTGTATGTGGATTCATAAATAGATTGAGTTTTAATATCACTTCAAATATATTCAAGTTGTTTTACCCAAAAAAAGGAATAAAAAACAAAAACCAGACATTAGCTACCTATTATTTGTAATTTCTATTTAGAGTAGGAATAGGCCCTAAATTGTAGCAGGAGATTAAGATTGAGATTAATGGAGACTTTTTTGCCTTTGTGTGTGTGTGAAATTTTGAAATAAGGCACTGAAAATGTTATCGATCTCCTTTATTTCATGTTTTTAAAGATAGGATAGATGCTATGTATGGGTTATTTTAAATACTATCTTGATTCAAAAGAATAAGAAAGATTGCATTCTGGTCTAATTCCATGGTTCTGAAATAGAATATTCAGCATTAAAAACTGTAATCTTATTTAATATTATAACCACACCGCTTGGTTTGCCATTGAATAATTTCCAACTCATAACATCCGTATAGGGTTTCCAAAGCTGCATATTTGTTTTGTTTTGTTTTTAGCTTTTTATTATGAATTGAGTGAAGGTTTATAGAATAGATCGTCAATCCCACATTCAGCAGCTTATACACTTCATGTCATTACAGTGATTGCAATCCACTTTGTGTACCATCAGTTCACAGGATTTACCTCTATTTCCTTTTTTCCCCTTTCCCTCCCCTAACCCATAACCATCATAGATTGTTTCATTTACGAAAATGTTTTCTTAACTTTTTACAACAGCGGTCTCATGCAATATTTGTTCTTTTTATTAATTTTTTTTCAACTTTTAACTGTGAATTGAGTGAAGGTTTACAGAACAGATCGATCATCAGTCCCACATACAGCAAAATTGTGCCCTTCTTGTCATTACAATGTCAGTCTTCATGGGAGCAGAAAGTCTCATCTTTCCCCCACAGAGCAACTTGAACTAACAACCTTGCAGTTAGCAGTACAGTGCTTATCCTACAGAGCCACCAGCCCTCCTTATTTAATACTGTATATTTATTATATTCAAATTTCTATATTTAATTCTAAGTAGAAATAAAAACGTAAGAGACTCAGTTTTGTATATGTATGTAAATGAATAGACGTTAAGTAACTACTGACCCTCTCCTTGAATTTTTCTGTTGTTAAGCATCTTCTTTTCCTTATTATAGACAGGGTGCAGAGAAAAGTGTCATTAAAAGGGCAGTGAGATAACATACAAGTCAGCCTTTCCCTGAAGTACAGTATAATTGTAGCCTTGTTACAGACAGGACTAGGCAGTTTAGCTAGATTACAGTTTGCCCCTATCTTGATAGAGGGCTTAAAGAGAACAAGGGTATTCCATCATTGTTTGAAATCATAGCTGCTCGTTGTTATGTTCTAGGGTTTCACTGATTTTAAGCCCAGAACTGTCCCGTATCTTCAGGCTACTCCATGCCAAGATTGAGACTGTGCTGGACCCAAAACAAATCCCTTTGAGGAAAGAGATGGCAGAAATCTCTGAATGGTTTTTTCTATTTCTTATCAGACCATATTCATATACCTAGGTTATTTTTAGTGCATATATGTAAAATGAAGTTAGTCACCATATATTATGTATTTAGATATTTACTCTGAACTCTGACAGTCTCCAGTGTTAATGTGCTTTAGAAGTAAGCGTATATCTAAAACTTGTAATAACTAATTAAAATTACAATGTGAAAACCACTTATACTTTTCTATAAAGCTATTACTTAGAAGAATATTAGTTTTATTAACTATTATTTGGCAATTCCTTTAATCTTAAAACATAAACTATTACATAAACATACTTTTTTAGAGTTTGGATTCTGACAAGCCCGTGGAACCAGTAAAAAGATCTCCTCTTCGCCAGGAAACAAACATGGCCAATTTTTCTTATCGCTTCTCCATATACAACTTGAATGGTAAGATGTAACTAGAAATAAAAACTTAAATATTATTATGCTAAATTATATAATGTAGAAACAGTGCAGCTATAATTCCTACTAGCTCAAGATAAAACTGTATGCATATTTTATTCAATTATTATGTTGATTTATACATTACATTAGTAAATCAAACAACTACAGGAAAAAAAAACAACTGAAACACTCTTCTGCTTGCTGTTGTTAGGTGCCATTGAATCAGTACCGACTCAGAGCAACCCTATGCATAGAACAAAACACTGCCTGGTCCTTGGTCAACCTCTCAATTGTTGCCACGCTTGAGCCCATTGATGCTGCCACTTGGCCAATCCATCTCACTGGGCGTCTTCTCATTCTCTCCGACCATCCACCTTACCAAACATGATATCCTTCTCTAGCAACTGGTCCCTCCTGACAATATGTCCAAAGCATGAGAGACGAAGTTTGGCTATCTTAGCTTTCAGGGAGCACTCTGGCTGTACTTCTTCCAACACAGATCTGTTGGTTCTTTTGGGAGACTGTGGTACTCTTCTGCTTAACTTACAATAAGTGACAGTACATATTCAGGTGGAACCTCAAACACAAATAATTGCATTTTTGGCTTTTTCACTGAGTTTCAAGTCCAGTGAAATTACTTGTCAGTAATTTAAAAATCAGTCCGGCAACTTTTGTTTCATAAGCTATAAAAAATCAACTTTGTAATATTTGGAGTTGACACTCCAATCTAATTTTTCTCAACCATATTCTTATGTTTTCATGCCTTCACTTCTTTCAATACTGACATTGCTACTAGAGCATTGATGATATTCACAACTTATTACAAGTTCCCATAATATGTTGCATGGTGGATGTGGTTAAAACCAGGGAATAGAGCAAGATTTTTGCATTATTTTTTTTAACAGTATTCAGTTAACAGTATTTATTCATTTTAACATTTTTTTTAAAAAAAAACACTCAGGCATATGTAATAATTTATACCAAAGGGCACATTCTGCAAGGCAGCCTCCTGGCCTCCAGGTCTCAGTCCCTCTCTTCCCATGAGTCTACAGTCCTCATCTGTTCCCTCTCTCCATGTCCCCATCTCTGCCTCCATCTCTGGTGTTGCTGCTTCTCTGGATAAGGTCCCACATTCCGCTTTTGCTCTTCTCCCTTGATGGTCTTAGGATCCTCTGTTTCTGCCTTTACAATTGTGACAGTTGCAGTTAGTCATGATAATTACTCACTATTGAATCATAAGAATTTTATCCTAATCTCTTTTTACCAGACCCATCTAGACAAGATGAAAACTATTCAGTGGGGACTCTTATCTTCCCCCACACACTTGTTTTTCCCTACAGCAGAAATTTATTATTTTTTATAAAAATATCCCAGTAGTTAGTTATAACAACAAAAATTATCTTCGTAAACCTAGTATCATGAACCTTTAAGGTTAAAATTCTATGCCAATTTATATCTTTTTTAAAACTGTTTTATTGTGAATAATGTGATAGTTTACATCCCCCACACACTCTTAAACTAAACTCCCTATTGAAACCTGTCACTTTGTACCTTTGTCGCCCCCTCATTTTAGGTAGCCAGTGTCTAAGTTGCCCATCCCTATCTACCCTGTGTACAGGGAAGATAGCATAGATACATGACATGAAGATTCCATCCCTTTCAGTTGGTATTTAGAGCTACTACCTCTATGAGTATGGGTCAAGTTCATCAGATTGTAGCAATTTACCCTCATTTGCTTTATCAAAATTTTTTGTTTTGTTTTTATCTTTTTCTAGTCAAGTTCTGATCATCAAGCCGTTGAGACTAGGTCAAATGAGTACTATCTGCAGGTTTGGGTGTTCTTGTGCGTCTCCCCTCACTTCATATCAGCTGGATGCTTCACTCTCAGCTCTAGCCTTCTGTGGCTATGTCCTTGTCCATGGGCTCAGGTGTCCCCAGATCTTACCACACTTTGGACCAGCCAGCCCTTCCTCTTCTCTCATCTCCAGGTCAACAGGAGTCCATGAAACGTTGTCAAACTCATCCCATTTCTTCATTGCCGCCTTTCCCCCATTTCCACTCACCAGTAGACCAATGTGGTTGCCAGCAAGCTTACATGCGTGCTTATGTGTTCAGTCTTAGAGGGGGGTTTGTCCTGAAATAATTTGATTGCCTGCCTTGATGGCTTCCTGGTGAAAAGCTTGCTTATTCTTATAGTAGCCAGTCCTACTAACATTTTTGTTTTGGGTTTTTCCTGCTGATCTTTCTTTAAAGATGTATATTCTGTTGCTCTAGCTGTTCCAGGCTGGTCTTGCTTGTCATTTCTAGTGGGAATGTCCCACCTCAGAAGGTTCTGGATGGGGCTCAGGATTCCACTTAAGGTCCTATACACTGCAAAGGTGCAAAGGCTTTGCAAGAGGCCTACTTTACTGGGCAAGTTGTAGGACCCCTTTTAGGTATTCCAGTCAATTATAACCTAAAGACAGGCTTACAAGCTTTCTGTAGTCATGTTTCCCAACATTCCTTTCTATCGCACTCAAGTGTCTATTTTACAATAGTAGGCAAGGGAAACCAATATTAGTAAGATAGTCAAGCAGCTTAGCATTATTTCCCCTCTTCAGACTATGCCTCAATCCTTGTACCATAGAGCTCTGTTGTTCCAAGTTTGAGCATGCATCACTATTTACCTCTGTCCCATTTAGCCCATGGAAACCTTTCTCCGTGTTCCCCTATCTACCTTGTTCTTTCACCTCCTCCCACTTCTTGTGTACTGCCCTCCACAACACCCGAACTATGATGTGTCTGCCCCTACCCTGTGCTCTACTGTCGCCTCCCTCCACCTCTCCCAAAGCCTCCACCCCACCCCCACCGGTAACCAACAAAGGAAAAAAAAATTTTTCCCCCGTTAGTATGGGTATCTTTTTTAAGCTTTTACAATAGTGGTCTTATGCAATATTTGTCCTTTTGTGACTAATTTTACTCAGCTTAATGTCCTTAAGGTTCGTCCATGTTATGCTGTAGCTTGCGGCTTCCTTGTTATTCTTCAATATAGCATAATATTCCATTGTGTATATGTACCAAAGTTTGGTTATCCATTCTTCCATTGATGGGCACTTAGGCTGTCTCTATCTTTTTGCTATTATGAATACTGCTGCTATGAACATGGGTGTGCATATATCTGCTCATGTTATGGCTTGTATTTCTTGTGGATAAATACCAAGTAGAGGAATTGCTGGATCTTATGGTATTTCCATTTCCAACATTCTGAGAAAGTGTGCCATACTGTTTTCCAGAGTGGTTGGAAGATTACTACTAATCTTAAAATTATGAAGTAGTTCCTTCTACAAATTTATCTTGGAATTTAAGACAAAGAAAGAAACTGTTATAGATACTTTATTTGATGGACTGTGTACTCAATGAGGATTTCTGGTGTGGTGCTTTAGGATCAGCACTAGACTTCAACCACGTGGTTGGCAGTTCAAACCCAGACACTGCTTTTCAGAAAACCTATACAGGGTCAGTATGCATCGGAACTGACTCCATGGCACTTAACAACAACATACCCAATGGGTTTAAATCTTTTGCTTCTTCCCTTGCATTTATTAACTGTTGGTGTAAAGTGTCATCAAGTCAGTTCCAACTCATAGCAACTCTGTGTAGGTTTCCAAAGAGGAGCAGGTGAGTATGAACCACCAACCTTGCAATTAGCAGTCCATTGCTTATCCTACAGGGCCATATGGACCCCGTGATTTTTAATAGAATGTGTAAATTCTGATTCATCTATTCCAGAAACATTGTGTGTGTTTTCATTGCAGAAGCTCTGAATCAGGGAGAGACTGTGGATCTGGATGCCCTGATGGCCGATCTTTGCTCTATAGAGCAGGAGCTCAGCAGTATTGGGTCAGGAAATAGTAAGCGTCAAATCACAGAAACAAAAGCTACCCAGAAATTACCTGCTAGTCGACATACATCAAGACATGGAACCTTGAAAGGATTGTCTTCTTCATCTAATAGGATTACTAAACCTTCACATGCCAACTATTCTCTGGATGACATCACTGCACAGTTAGAACAGGCCTCGTTGAGCATGGATGAGGCTGCTCAACAATCAGTACTAGAAGATACTAAGCCCTTAGTAACTAATCAGCACAGAAGAACAGCATCAGCAGGCACAGTGAGTGATACTGAAGTACGTTCTATGAGCAACTCCTCCCGTTCCAGCATCACTTCTGCAGCTTCTAGCATGGACTCTTTGGATATTGATAAAGTAACACGTCCGCAAGAACTGGATTTGACACATCAAGGGCAACCAATCACGGAGGTAAAGAGATGGAACTAGTATTTGGATTTTTAGTACTTACGATACTTTCAATAGTGTAAGTGATATTGAAAGAATACCGTATTTTTTGTATATAATGTGCCCACCTAAATCATGTGCACATGTATATAACATTCATAACAAACTAATGCATAGGAGGGTTGCAAAGTTTTCCAGAAACCTGTAACACACTCATTCTTTGCATAAAAATACAGTTGTTGTTGTTTTTTTCAATGTTTACACTTCATAAAAGACACCCCTGTACTAAGTTTTAAAGTTACATCCCAGAAAGAATATATTATCAGACATGGTAGTATCACAAAGATAATTGGGATTTAGTTTCTTCTTTTGATACTCACAACTATATGAAGTGTTTGAAGTAATGCCAGTCATTTCACATGATGAAAAAAAATTTTAATGTCGTTTACAAATGATGATATTTTGCAAAGTCATCATAGATATTAAGCTGGTACTTGCTTTTTAAGTGTATCATTTTAGAATAGCAAGAAGAAAAATGTCGCCATTGTAGCCCTCCAAGAGTCTAGTTTTCAGCAGGTTGTAATAATCTTCAGAATTTATTCCACTTTATTGTCGAAGAGTCAATGTGGCATAGTAGAAATCAGAAAACTTGGTTTAAGACCTCCCTTTTTCTAGAAAATTCTTAAAATGGTATCTAATGTATTCATGGGCCATGGTAACAGGTTATCAGGTGGTGTTCAGTGACTGTAGGGATGGATTTATGATGCAGTACATTTATTAAAAGCTGAGTTTGGTAAAGGTGAATAATTTATTAATTTGTTTTCATCAAAGAGATGGTTTAGTCATAGGTGGAAGCAAGAAAGAAGAACTCAGTGGAGATAGGATAAAGCCAGCTTTTTCTCTCAGCTTGTGTTTACAGTGTTGTCTAATGCAGGGTAAAGGAATCTACTCATGAATGATCAATACTAGTGAAAAATATTACAAACATTGTTTTGGGGACTGTGAGAAATTTTTAATGTATACATATTTGACGCCATCAATTTTTTTCCCATTGAGTAGTTTTTTAGATTAAAATTCCGTCAGTCAGTAACTCGTTGTATCTAGCCATGTGCCTAGCTTTTTTTTTCCTCTAGATTTTATTTATTTTGTGTTGTTAAGAATATACACAGCAAAACACGCACCAATTGAACCATTTCTGCATGTACAATTTAGAGATATTGGTTACATTCTTCAAGTTAAGCAACCATTCCTACCCTCCTCTTCTGAATTGATCCTTCCTCATTAACACAAACCTAATTGCCCTTGATATCTAATCTTTCAAATTGAAGTTGTCAGTTAATCCCCATGTAAACAGTTCTTTAAAAAAAAACGTAATACTCAAGGCAAAACTCTTTTATTAGTTAAGCTAAACTGTTGTTCGGTTTCAAGATGACTTTGAGGGATATTTTTGATTTAAGGTTTAAATATTATTTCGCCTAAATAGTTTTGTATATTCATTAGTTGATGGGCATTTAGCTTGTTTTCCTCCTTTTGACAGTTGCGAATAGTGCTGTAATGAAATTGCCATACAAGTCTGCTTTTTGTCCTCTATGTGTAAACATTCCTGTATATAAACTTTCAGGACCTATATACCTCAGAGTGGAATTGCTGGGTCACCTAATAGTTCTAGGGAGCACGGTAGCACCATCCGATAAGCGCTGGACTACAAACAACAGACTCTGAGGTTCGAGCCTGCCAGCCATTCTTCAGGATGAGGCTTTTTGCTCCTGCAAAAATTTAAAAGCCTTGGAAACCCTACATAGGGTTGGTATGAGTTGGAACCGACTTGACAGCACTTAACAACGACAATGGTAGTTCTATTTTTAGGGGTTTTTTGGTTTTTTATTTTGGAGGAAGGGCCACGCTCTTTTCCATAGAGGCTATACCATTTTGCATTCCCAACAACAGTATTTGTTGTTTTTCTCTTTCTATAACTCTTAGTCATCCTAGTGGCAGTGTAATGG